TCTCTCTCTCTCTCTCTCTCTCTCTCTCTCTCTCTCACGCGCGCGCGTGCGGTCTTTGTGGCACTTGCCATAAGAAAGTTCACTGCAGAATTCGTAGGTAACTCCAAGGAGCTCAAGCCAAATGTTGCATTCTTTTTTCCTTCTTTTTCCGTCTTTTCTCCTTTTTTCTTTTTTTTTTAATTTGGACCATTTCTCGATTTACGCATGTCATCCTTGCACAGGCGCCATGCTAATCTTCTCTCTCTGTATCGTTCCAATTTTAACGGATGTCCCGAAGGACTTCCGTCTTTTCTCCTGAGTTCTTGATAATTAGTCATTCCTCTTGGGCCATATGGCATCTCATCTGATAATTTACGGTCTGAATCTTCTAACACACATCAGACACAATCAGGCACAAGTTAAAAAAGTGCGAAAGATTGTCCATCAAGAAAAGAAATAAGAAATCACCTCTTTCACTTCCTATTGCCATTCATATATAGAGGGACTGAGGCTACTGCAGGAAGCAGGGGCAACCACGCAAACAACTAACTCGGCATCCTAACCATGCGCTACCGCCTTCACCCGAATAGAACACCCGGTCAATATAGCTGTATTTGACGCAGCTTTCAGTCCAGATACGGCCATAATTACTGGGCGTTCTATTCGGGTGAAGACGGTAATCAAAAGAGAGCCACGGAAAGGGACCAGCAAACAGTGCAAAACAGTGGGATGATCAGTTTCAACCATACATGCAAGCAAACGGCGTGCAGGCAATTGTGCAGGTATGGGGGCACAAGCACACTGGACCGGTGTGGTGCACGGGGGGAAATAGGCACCCAGAAAAGAGGGAAAAAAAGGGGTCCCAGGCCTGAATCAGTGGTCACCTGCATCCCCTTTGAAAATTTGATGTGGGATGAAAAAAAAAAAAAAAAACCACCAAGTTAGTAGAGTAATGTTGCTGCCTAACGGTCAAGACTGACGTTCCGAACAGCTACTTGAGGCTATTTCTCGTGCCCAATGGGCCAAAAATAAAATTTTGTACGACTGTCCTCGAACAGTACCTGTTCCTTCGGTAGTACACTCTTTTTGTATCCACACATACACACACCAAAAAAAAACGCAATTGCTGATGATACGGCGCACGGCCAGGCGCAGCGCCACACGGTGACTGCACGGTGCAGTTGCAAGTATGGTTTCAAGTTTCAACCCGTGAGCCAAGCGGATGGGCACAAGACATGTTAGACCAGGGTCATAAACAAGGGGGGAAATTGCATAGGATCGCCCCACAGGAGGACCAGAAAACACAGGGACCAGACCAACAGGCAATGACGCCAGAATTGCGCCGCTATCGGTGTTGCAGGATTGCACCAGGATTGCTCCACCAGTATTGCTGTTCCAGGAGTGCACCAGGATCACTGCATGAGGATGACTGCAACACGATTGCTGCACCAGGAGTGCGCCAGGATTGCACCAGGGTCACACCAAGATTGCACCAGGATTGCAACACGACTGCACTAAAATTTCAACAGGATTGCACCGGGAATGCACCAGGATTGCAACACAATTGCACCAGGATTGCACAAGGATTGGACCAGCATTGGACCAGGATTGCACCAGGATTGCCACACCAGGATTGTGCCAGGATCGCACCAGGGTCGCACCAAGATTGCACCAGGATTGCAACACGACTGCATTAAAATTTCAACAGGATTGCACCAGGATTGCACCAGGATTGCACAAGGATTGCACAAGGATTGCACAAGGATTGGACCAGGATTGCCACACCAGGATTGCGCCAGAATCGCACCAGGGTCGCACCAAGATTGCACCACGATTGCAACACGACTGCACTCACATTACAACCGGATTGCACCGGGATTGCAACACGATTGCACCAGAAGGATTGCCCGTTACCCCAGGATTGCCCCAGGATTGCACAAGGATTGCACCAGGATTGGACCAGCATTGGACCAGGATTGCAGCAGCATTGCACCAGGGTTGCACAATTGCAGCGGAATTGCGTCAGCATTGCTATCCCAGGACTGCATCAGGCACAGTGCACCAGGAATAGCGCACAGGGTTAGTGCACCAGGATCCCTGAATACGGAATGGCACACAGGGTGAGTGCACGAGGCTTGGAAAACCAGGAGATTGCACCAGGACTGCACCAGGACTGCACCATGGCTGCAGGGGAATTGCTACCGTCTTCCCCCGAACACAACGCACCCTCATTTTGGCTGTACCCGACCTGAAATATAGCTTGTATACATTCATTTTCAGGGTGCGTTCTGTTCGGGGGAAGACGGTAGCCCGGTGTTGCACAGCACTCGGCTTGCCCCGAAACTGAAAAAAAATACTACACTTGCTACGCATGGCTGAAACCATGGTGAGCAGACTACCGTAGGTGTTAATAATAACGAAAACAGATAGCCCGCATGAAAAAGGTATTGGGCTATTTATTTCGCCCAGTCTTCCGGGGTTGGGTACTAAGCCCCTTCGACCAGGTGGACCCATTCCTGGCCATGCGATCTAAAGATCGGGCGGGCCTCTTTCTACCGAATTATGAATCTGGCACTGCAGTTATTCCAGATTCATGATTGGGTAGGCCGATTTGCACCGCTCGAAGGCGCTTAGTACCCAAGCGCGGGAGACTCTGGGCTTAAACCCCCCAATAGCTTTTCTGGCGGGCCTAAATGTACACCAGTTTTCTGTTTACTGAAAAAAAAGGAAAAACAATAATAAAAAAAAAACGATAGGAGACAATGGGAACAACGGGAGACTCTGGGCTTAAACCCCCCAATAGCTTTTCTGGCGGGCCTAAATGTACACCAGTTTTCCGTTACTAAAAAAACAAAACAAAAAAAAACGATAGGAGACAATGGGAACAGCAAACCCGGCAGCAGGCACGCCGAGTGCAGAGGAGAAGAAGAAGTAACCAGGGCAGGCTCCTCAAGGGTACCGAGAGATGAAACGCTGTGCTGTGCAAAGGAACAAGAAATGCCTCGGTCTGCGAAAAACGTACAGAGACCAATGGAAAATAACCAGCAGATTGTAATCAATTAGGCGTCCAAGGAAAAAGAGGAGGAGATGGCACGATCATGAACTTCAGACTCCGTGGGCAGTACTCCCTACAAAAAAGAATAAACAGAAAAGAAAAAAAGTTCAAAAAAGAAGGCTGGGAAAATACCAAAAAATAGAACCAATAGCAGAGTGTGATACAATCATACTAACGGTCGTGCACAACAACAGGTCAGACTGCAATAAAAAAAAAAAGGCGGGTCAGCCTGCAAAAAAA